CTATTTTGAAAAAGTGAGCGGGTCACCCGGGTATTTCCCACTATTTCATCTGCCCAAGTGTGCCTCCACCCTTGGGCGTATCCAAGAAACATGACAACCATTCATTTGCTTTAGTCCTGGGCAATAATAATTCTATTTACAAGTAGTTATGGAGCATCATTAATCGTATTAATTACTCAATTTAATTGTAATTGTGTTAATTACTCAATTTACTTGTAATTGTGGAGCATCATTAATTGCAGATCTTGGATCTCACCCATAATAGTCTTAAATTTTTTTCTCATCCATCAAGTCAGCTTTGACCCGTCTCAAAAGTTAAAACGTTGACCCTAAATTTATTTATTCATTTTTTATCTTCAATAATAATTTTAATGTTGTGAAAATTAAGAATAAGTTAGTCAACCTATAATTGATTAAAAATAATTCAAACGCAAAAAAAAAAAAAAAAAGATTTGTTTTAGCGATTTCAAAATAAAATAAAATAATAATAATGAAAAAGTGGTAATGATATCTGACATATGTTAACACATGAGCTGATCGACCACTCTCGACTCAATTACATTAGAGTTCAAGCCACCCATAAACTTGATTAGGAATGATAATGGGTTGGGTCGAGGATGGATCACAACGTCTCAAGCCTCACCCCGTTCCCCGCATAAGGTGGGGCTCGTTGATGCATGTCACAAGCATTATTTTTTTAGAATAATTTCGAAATTGGATTGATGGTCTTTGAGTATCAATTTTGCTTTGAGCATAAAGAAGTTGGACGGATGTTTAAATATATATTTTTTTAATTTTCTTTGAAAATAACTAGATAATGGCTTCGTCACCACGTTCACAGGGGGAATTCTAGCCTCTTTCAAGACAACCCTGCTACATGAACATGTTCAACCACATGAATCATAACAAGGGGCACATGTAATTTGTTTATTTAACAATTTTTCTTTTTTTTAAAGAACACCTATATAGTTGCTACCCTATCAACGAATCCTGTCAAATGCAAATGTTCAAACAACATTAGCTCTCGTTTGACCCTCATTAAAATTATAATTCATTTTTTTCTCTTTCTGTTACTCACATTTTCCAACAAAATAATATTATACGTAATCAATTTTTTTTTAAAACATATTTTTAAAGGAAATACTCCCTCCGTCCCATATATATATGCTTGTTTTATTTTTCACGCGGATTAATAAATCTCATTTAATATTATTGGAAAAGTAATTTTTATCAATAACATTTCAAGTTTATCCCTATTTAATTT